TATATATATATATTTGTTGTGCTTATATTATTTTCTATTATCAGCATTTTATAAAAAAAAAATATATATAATTGTTTATTTTATTAATTTATTTTTAAACATACACAGATTCAAAGAGAACCACAGGTAAACCGGTTGAGAATCCCTTCTCTAGGCTGATATGGCTAGGAACTAAACTCTCATTCTGGTGTGGTAATCATGGAACTCTGCTGCCGTGCCATGACTGCACCAATGCAATGGTATTACACACAACCTGAAAATAGTCCCAAGCAAGATAACTACGTAACATCACTGTGTAAAACAGGGGTCACCAATCTCGTTCCTGGAGGGTCGGTGTACCTGCAGGGTTTAGCTCCAACTTGCCTCAACACACCTGCCTGGATGATTCAAGTATACCTGGTAAGACCTTGATTGGCATGTTCAGGTGTGTTTGATTAGGGTTGATGTAGGGTTTTCATTTCTATCCGTCACGTCTGTGTGCAATATGTTGTTTTCATCTATCCATGAAAGAATAATCCAGATTTAACTTCTTAATATTATTTATTTGTTAGCTTTCATCAAAACGCACTGGTAAAACATCAGCGCCCCAAGGGGGAAGGAAATACATAAAAGTACTCGGAAGTAAGTTCAACATTCACAACCGGAGTCAAAATAAAAGTCCCGTTTGTTAACACTTGCGCACAACGAACTCTTGCACATTTTTGGCATACAACAGTAAGTAGTATAATCTAAAAAATAAATAAACAAAATACATAACAAAACATAAATTTATATGATTAATGAGAACATAAAACTCAACAGTTGGAGCTAAAATCTGCAGGACACCGGCCCTCCAGGAACAAGTTTGGTGCACCTGGTGTAAAACCATTATAATTCTGTGCCTTATCAGCCTACAAACCTTTAATTTTCCATCGGTTTTAGTTCACGATGTAATTACAGAAGAGTCAAGCTTTAAATAGGAAAATGATCTTAACTCTTTTCTTTTGAGCAAGATTGCTGATGGTCTATAACAGGGGTCACCAATCTCGTTCCTGGAGGTCTGGCATCCTGCAGGGTTTAGCTCCAACTTGCCTCAACACACCTGCCTGGGTGTTTCAAGTTCCTAGCAAGACCTTAAATAGCTTGTTCAGGTGTGTTTGATTAGGGTTGGAGCTAAAATCTGCAGGACACCAGACCTCAAGTTTGGTGATCCCTGGTCTATAATGATCTATGATCCAATATCAAGGCATACAGTTGTTCTTGTTCGAGAAGCAGTCTCACTCTGATATACATTCCAGTAAAACAAATGTTTCTTTGTATGTCGGCTCTTCCCTTGATCTCCCTCTGTGTGTGTGATTCTGTCTAACCTGTGCTCATTTCTCTTCCAGAAAAGCAAGTCCAGTTCCCGCACCCAGCTGATGGTGAGTGAGAAACGGGGCTCCATCCTGTTGACAATCTGGCAACCTTTTAACTATGAGTAAAACCTGGAGCTGCCGTGGAGCTGGACTTTCTTTCTGCTGTTGTTGATGTTTCATCCCATCTGTAATGTCGATGCGGATGTGTGCCGTTTCTGTTTCTTAACTCTCTCTTTATTAAAGGCACACAGAGAGCAGCTGCTGAACTCATGCATCAACTGATCCTGAGTCAGTGATCAGCAATAAACTCAACTGATTCTCAATCTCATTTTTAGGAATCATCAGAGAGCACCAACACCACAATTGAAGATGAGGATACTAGAGGTGAGATATCTGTCTGTTTATCTATCCGTCTGCCTGCCTGTCTGTCTGGTTTTCTTTATATCTGTTGGTCTAGCTATCTGTGTAACTATATTTATGTCTGTCTGTCATTCTATCGTTCTGTCTGTCTATCTATATTTATGGCTGTCTATCTCAACCCGGGCTCATTGTGGAAACGTAGCCCCGCGGATGTTTCTGCGGACCGCGATTTACGTCCCGGGAGGTACGTATTCGAGCGGTTTTTGTTTTTCCGGGAGCGTGCGCCGTTCTCGTGTGAAAAGCCACCGGATCGGCCGACTCGGCCGCCCTCCTCTTCCTCCTTCCCTAAACCCGAGCGACGGTTCGCAAAAGCCGTCCAGAAAAAAAAAAAAAAAGCAAAAGCCCTCGTCTTCGACCGCGTTTTCATATCCCGCCACGTTCTCGCCCTTATTTTTCGGATTCCGTTTTTCGTCTTACCTGATTTCCGGAACCTTCTGTTCGGAAACCACCGCGGCCGGCTCCTCCTCCTTCTCCTCCGGGGCCTCCGCTCCGCCGACGCAACGCTGTGAGCTAAGAGGACAAACTGATTGCATCGGGAAAGCCCTCCACTCGGACGCGAGCCGTCGGCCGGCGAGCGTGAAGAGGAGGGGCGGAGCGGCGCCACACCGCCCCGCAGCGTTCGCTCGAAAAAAACTGAACGCGGCCTTTACGTACCTCCGGCCACGTAAATCGCTGTCTCCAGAAAACGTCCGCGGGGCTACGTTTCCAGAATGAGCTTGGGTTGTTCTATCTAGCTGTCTGTGTATCTATCTATATGTCTGTTTATCATCATGTCCGTCTGTCTGTCTGTCTATCTGTCTGTCTGTCTATCTGTCTGTCTGTCTATCTGTCTGTCCGTCCGTCCTTCTGTCCGTCCATCCGTCTATCTATCTATCTATCCATCCTTCCGTCCATCCGTCCGTCCATCCATGATTATTTTCTTGTGAATTTGTGTTTTCTAAGCATTCGTTGACGTAATAGACCAGTTTTCCGGCAACGTTTTGCTCCAATTTAACACATTTCCATTTTTTTAGTTCAACTTGTTGGGACAATAAAAATGAGTGCTGTACAAGTTTCCATGTAAACATCCCCTGTGGACACAACTGTACGCAGAAAAAGGCTCAACATAGGCTCATTCTGAAAACGGCTTTAAAATGAACGATATGGAGCGTTATTATGCCGTTACCAGCTGACCACTTACCTCGGTATGGATGGCTTTCCCACTGTTATCAGTTTGCCCAGTAGCTCGCCACGTACACTGATGGACTTGAGACACAGAGAGGAGTTGACCACTAGGACGGGGTTCGAGTCCGATTTCAGAAAGCAGGTACAACAAAAGCAAAAGGCAAAATATAAAAAGGCAAGTAAATAACTGGGTGACAACATGGTAAAATCAGAAAGCAAAAGTAAAATCAGGTGACCGTGATAGCTTTTCCTTTTCAGAATTGCTTTTTAAAACACTAATGGTTGGGTTCAGGGAAGGAGTCAGTCAGTAAGTTGACATTGGCCTCTGGTGGATCTATGTAAGAATAGCAGGTGCGAATGGCACTCTAAAAAGGTGTAAACAGCGGCCTCTGGTGGATTAGTGAAAACAAAAAAATGCAAAAAAAGTACCTCTTGGGATGTATTTGGCACTCTCCAGAAATGTATACAGGGGAACGTTTTCAGAATGAGCCTGGGCTGAAAATGCTAGGTTTACATTAAATCAAATATGGTAAATCTCAATGGTTTAGTTTGTCCATATTTGATCCAACGTTGAGTTACAACAACCCAGCTTTTTTTTAGAACAGGTAAGCCAAGATATCAGTTTCATGTATCACTACAGTATTTCTTAGGCTTAAAACTGAACAAAAGGTAAAAAACGAGAGCTAATCTATCTTTCTGTTCTCCAGTGAGGAAGCAGGAAATCATCAAAGTAACCGAGCAGCTGATTGAAGCCATCAGCAATGGAGACTTCGAGAGTTACACGTGAGTTTTGGGAATGCTTCGCTTCTCATTTAGTTATAGCGATCGCTGATTGGCTCCTGTTCTAGTAGGCGAGGCTTTATTAGCCATATTGATCGTTACTCTTTCCCCCATTTAAAACTATACGAGTGACACCTTTTGTGTATTCTATAGGCTGTGTCCAAAACCGTTTACTACTTGTAATATACTTCGTTTGATTTTAGATGTACTACTCGGCTGTGTTCTATACAGTATGAATGTGAGCAGTATGGATGGAATTCGGACTACGTCAGTTGTGTCACTTCACTTCCCATTCATGACTGTCTCATGGGGCATCATGGGATAGTCACCCGGGTACTTCTCACATACTGTTTTTCAAATTCTATGAATTCGGACATACTACTCGGTTCGCATACTGTTTTTAGCGTTCTATATAGTATGGAAGTATGCCGTTTCAGACGCACCCATAGTCTTTAGTTCATTCCAGGCAATTGAACCAAGTGTGAAAGCACCCTCAAGGACAGTTGTCATAAGCAAACATTAATATAATTCATATTCATATGTCATGATTGTATATGTCTTATACACACTTTTCAAGTTAAAAGTTACCAAAGAGAGTCATATGATCATATTTGTAATAAGCTTTTAACGTAAAACTTGGGCTTGTTTAAATGACCTATAAAAAGTTGCAGATTTAAATATGCATGCACTGATAATAATAATAACAATAACATGGCAACGCAGTGTCGCAGTAAGTAGTGCTGTTGCCTTACAGCAAGAAGGTCGCTGGTTCGAGCCTCGGCTGGGTCAGTTGCCGTACAGGTGAATTGTTTAGGCTAAATTGTCCGCAGCGTATGAGTGTGTGTGGATGTTTCCCAGAGATGGGTTGCAGCAGGAAGGGCATCTGCTGTGTAAAACCGTGCGGGATAAGTTGGCGGTTCATTCCGCTGTGGCGACCTCGGATTAATAAAGGAACTAAGCCAAAAGAAAATGAATGAATGAATAATAATACTAACAATAACTAGCAAGAGGTGATGTTTGTGTGCAGGAAGATGTGTGATCCCAGCGTTACAGCGTTTGAACCCGAAGCTCTGGGAAACCTGGTGGAGGGTCTGGACTTCCATCGCTTCTACTTTGAAAACTGTAAGAGGAAGCATGTACCTACAATATGCAAATGAATTAAAGAAGATTTTTTTTTTATTAAATCTTATTATTGTTCTGCCTGTCATCAGCATTATTATATTCTGCAAAAACAAAAATGCTTTTCTTACTTGTCTTTCCTTGTCTTGTTTCTAGTCCAAATATCAATAAATTCTTAAATCAAGAAGCATTTTCTAGACATGTGTAAAATATTGTCTGGTTTTCAGAAATAATGAGTAAAAAATGAAGTGAGTTTTGTGCTAATACAAGCAAAATAATTAGATATTTGGACTAGAACAGGACAAAAACACTAAGTAGGAAAAGCATTTGCAGTGTAACGCTGGTTAAATGTAAGCAGCAATCTAATGTGTGTGTGATGAATACGTTTCAATTGAAATGAGTCATTGAAAAAATTACAAACTACAAAGTTTCACCAAAATTTGATGTTTTTGTGTTTCCTTTTGATTTAATTTTTTACTCAACATATTAAATTGGGTGTACCAATGTTTGGACTGTGATCTTAAGGTTTTTTTGTTTTAATAATTCTATTTTGTCTTCAGTGCCGACTAATCTAATGCAGATGCACAGTAAATTATAATACTCACCGGCCACTTTATTAGGTACATCTGTCCAACTGCTCGTTAGCGCAAATTTCTAATCAGCCAATCACATGGCAGCAACTCAGAAGACATGGTCAAGACGATCTGCTACAAATCAAAGCGAGCATCAGAATGAGGAAGAAAGGGGATTTAAGTGACTTTGAACGTGGCATGGTTGTTGCTGCCAAACTGAGTCTGAGTATTTCAGTAACTGCTGATCTGCTGGGATATTCACGCACAACCATCTCTAGCGTTTACAGAGAATGCTCTGAAAAAGAGGAAATATCCAGTGAGCGGCAGTTCTGTGGGCGCAAATGCCTTGATGATGCCGGAGGTCAGAAGAGAATGGCCAGACTGGCTCCAGCTGATAGAAAGGCAACAGTAACTCAAATAAGCACTCGTTACAACCGAGCTCTGCAGAAGAGCATCTCTAAACACACAACACATTGAACCTTGAGGCGGATGAGCTACAGCAGCAGACGACCACACCGGGTGCCGCCCCTGTCAGCTAAGAACAGGAAGATGAGGCTACAATTCACACAGACTCACCAAAACTGGACAATAGAAGATTGGAGAAACGTTGCCTGCTCTGATGAGTCTCCATTTCTGCTGCCACATTCAGATGCTCGGGTCAGAATTTGGCTTTAACAACATGAAAGCATGGATCCATCCTGCCTTGTATCAGCGGTTCAGGCTGGTGGTGGTGGTGTAATGGTGTGGGGGAGATTTTCTTGGCACACTTTGGGCTCATTATTACAAATTGAGCATGGCGTCAACGCCACAGCCTACCTGAGTATTGTTGCTGACCATGTCCATCCCTTTATGAGCACAGTGTCTCCATCTTCTGATGGCTACTTCCAGCAGGATAACACACCATGTCATAAAATGTGAATAATCTCAGACTGGTTTCTTGAACATGACAATGAGTTCACTGTACTCAAATGGCCCCTTTGGGATGTGGTCCAAATCCACCTTTGGGATGTGGTGGATCGGGAGATCATGGATCATGGATGTGCAGCCGACAAATCTGCAGCAACTGTGTGATGCTATCATGTCAATATGGAGCAAAATCTCTGAGGAATATTTCCAGTACCTTGTTGAATCTCTGCCATGAAGGATTAAGGCAGTTCTAAAGGCAAAAAGGGGTCCAGCCCAGTACTAATAAGGTGTACCTAATAAAGTGGCCGGTAAATGTGTTTCATATTTTCAAAAGATTAAGACACGTTTAACAGTCTTCAATATTTCAAATCCTTGGACGTTAGGAATATATATTTTAAATACATATGTAAATACGTATAAATACTTGTATTAAATCATCTTTGTTTAAAAAAAAACTAATCACTGCTTGTGTGAGGTGTCTCTAATGCAGCACTGCAAAAAATGCTTTTCTTGCTTAGATTTTTTGTCTTGTTTCTAGTCCAAATATCTAAAAATTCCTAAATCAAGAGGAATTTTCTAGACAAGCAGAACTTATTGTCTTGTTTTGAGAAATAATATGCCAATATTAAGTGAGTTTTTCCTTAAAACAAGCAAAATAATCAGCCAATGGGGGAAGCAAATTAATCTTGTTTTTTCTTTTGACGTACGATTAATTTGCTTACCCCATTGGCTGCTTTTTTTGCTTGTTTT